AGGGGACCCCCTGGGACCTGCCAAAGCTCCTCTGGAGTCTCGAGTCTCCAGGATGCGGATCTCCCCAGCTCCTTCCTCACCCTCCGTGTTCCCGGAGCGGCAGCACCATCCCCCCGGCGATTCCCTCTCCCACTTGGCGCGTCCGCTCCAGTGCCAGGCGGTTCTACCGCTCGCACGCTGTGATGTTCCTGTCCTCTCCACCCTCCCTAGCCCCACTGCCCGCGTCGTCCCTGCCCGCCACCCGGCAGCAGGGGCCTTCTGTGTTAATGTGCTGAGCGCACCACCCTGCACCCACCGAACAGCTGTCTTTGGCTGGGACACACTATGCTTTTCACATATCACCGGATCTCACTCGCTAATATTTTATTCAGGACTTTTGACCTCTCAGATATGTAATTGGTTTTATGTCATTTCCTGCTTAAAGCACTTTAAATGCACTTAGAAGACAATGTGACCTCTTGACCCTGAGCCTCAGGCACCAGCCACACCTCAGTGCTCAGCCCTGTGAGCCTCTCGGGACACTGTCCACGGGAATCTGGAGAAGCCACGGAGAATGCAGGGTGGCTCCCTCCCTCGAATTCGTCTCGGCTGTCACGGCAGCTCTGTGCCCACGGGTCTCCAGGTTCCACAAAGGCAGTGCCCTCACACCTGTCACAGAATCTGTCACCTCTGAATCGGTGACGGAACGAGCTCTCCTCAGGGCCGGCCGGGCCGCGGGAGTCTCCAGGGCCCTCAGGGGCCGTGCCCGCTGCCCCAATCACACAGGCCTCCTGACTTGTCACTGCCCCACTCGCGAGAGAATCATTACTCCCCATCACGCCTCCCACCTCCTCCCTCTCCACCACGACCTCGCTTCCCGCCTCACCTCCCAGCTCCAGCACCTACACTCTGCCTCCTGCCCTGGAAGCAGGTGCCCCGACCGGGAATCGAACCGTGACCTCCTGGTTCATAGGTCACTACTCACCCACTGAGCCATACGGCCGGGCCAGCTTTTTAATCACAAATCAACATCCTCCCATCGCTCTCCCCCTGACCCACCACTGATTTGCTCTGAACTGGCGGAGGCTGCACATCTCAGCTCTGTTCCTTGCAAAGGGTCATTGCTGAGAGCTTCCTGCCAAGCCTTTCGGGGGGTCAGAGGCTGGGAGCAAGTCCCACTGGGGGGGAGGGGTTGACCTTGAACACCTGGAGGAGTGACCTTGACCACCCCAGAGCCCTGGGCCTCTGCTTCCTCCTCGCTGGTGAGAGCCTGGACATCAGGGCTCCTCCTGTGTCTCCCACTCCAGGCCTCTGACTAATCTGTCCTCACACAGAGCTGAGAGCAGGTGCCAAGACGACAGAGCAATTGTTCTGGGACCTGAGACCACAGACCACAGCCTGTGGGGCCCCAGCCCAGGAGCACTTTACTGTCAGGAAAAGCCCAGCTGGTCCGGGGAGGAGGCCACATTGATGGCTAAAAGCGAACACACCCTAATCTACCAGATTCCTTTCCCCGCCAGAGCCCGGTCCAGCAGGCTGGCTTCCCTGTCAGCAGCCCAGCCGGGCAGGCTTCCAGCTGTGGACAGAGGCAAGGCTACCAGGGCTCCCCTGCCCACTGGAGGGAAGGTGAGGAGGGAGGGAGCACATGGGCTGAGCGGGGGGCAGGGGACACTGACAAAGCCCAGAGGAGAGCCATCACCCTGCTGACAGCCTTGAGGAAACCCCTCCATGAACCCTGCAGCTTCTTGGGCTGATTCCAGAAGCCCAGGGGCTCGCTGGTTACAGACATCGGGTGGACAAGGCGGAGCTAGATCCTGTCTCCCCCTGATAGGACGTTTGGGCAAATTTCTGAACCTCCCTGAGCCTCAGACCTCAATTTATCTTAAAAAAAAAAGAGTCTTTAAAATAGGAATTTACAATAACATCTACTACTGAGAGGCTATGAGCATTAAGTGAGATAAAGCAGATAAAAACACAGAATTGTGCTAGTTCTTAGCACTCAGAGCTAAAAACACAACTCGACTGTCCCAGGATCTCAAAACAGCACTGTCAGGAGCGACAAGGCAGAGCCACCGAGAGCTGGAAGGAACCTTGACATCCCGCATCCAGCCCCTTGTCTAACAGAGGAGGGGAAGGGCTCAGAGAGGTTGAACAGCTTATCCAGGGCTGCACAGCTAGTCAGCAACAGAGCAAGGTTCAAACTCAGATCGTTCTGACTCCCAAACCCCCACCACCTCTCACCCCACCCCACCCGTCTTGGGTCAGGGAGCCCTGCTGGCACTCCTCCCGCAGCCAGGCCCCTGGGGCGGGTGCCACCAAGAAACCCTGGGGCGAATGCCCAGAGCGGAGCGAGGGGAACAAGGCAGCAGTCACCCAGCTTGTGAAGATGTTATGCAAATGACATGCAGAGTACATGTAAATGACCACCGGTTATTGAGGAATCAGCCCTTCGAGGTTTGTTTTTGTTGTGTTTCGGGGGTAACTGGGTCACAGTACTTGATCTGAACCTTCTTTCTCTCTGGTGTCTCTGCCAGGTGGAAGGAAGTAACATTTCTGGTTGACTGACCAAACCATGCCTGGCTTGGTGAGGGGCCCAGCGGACACGTCACCCAGATGCCCGTGAAAGCCTCGCCAGGCTTGGCCAGCATTCCCCCTTGGTGCCCAGGGCCCGTCCACCTCTGACTGGCTCACCAGGGCAGGGAGCGAGGTGGGCCCCTGGCTGAGAGGTGACTCAGGCAGACCAGCAGGGAGCAGGGACAGGCAAGTCCCTGGAGCGGCCCCTCCCCGCGGCCCGGCCTCCAGGACCCCAGCTTGGGACCGGCCCCCACAGGAGAAAGGTTCCTCGCTGAGCAATGGGCAGCCGGTCAGGGCTGCAGAGGAGAAGCACAGAGGTCCAGCCCCAGCAAAAGGGTGACCCAGAGGGTCCACCCCCAGAAGGCCTGCTGGAGGCTCCACCTCGAGCTCTGCACTCTCGTGGGTGGCAGGGGACACCTGAGGCCTGTCCTGGGCCAGGCCCCGAGCTCCGCTTTCTGGAGAAACAGCAGAAACAGACAGGAAGCCGGGCTGCCTCAGCCGCTGCCCCTGAGACGCTGACGACCCACCAAGGGAGCAAAGGCCAGAACAGAGGTGACTTCACAGGACCCTGACGCCCCCTTAAAAGGGGGGGTGCTACTGTGTGAAAGGACGAGTGGGTGGGGCAGAGCTTCCCTGCTCAGCCCCTTTGAGCCACAGGTTAACGGTGACGCAACGACAAACACAGACCTACCCCTACCCCGTGCGGCTGGCGCACCACAGGCCAGGCCCAGGCTAAGAGCTTCCTGCCCTCAGGCATCCCGGGGAGAGAGTCAAACACTCATGGCCCCTTTTATAGATGAGGAAACTGCAGCTTCGAGACGTCAGTGAGTGCCTCCCGGTCACAGCTCGAGGCTCCCAGGAGGGCTGCCCGCAGGTCCAGATGCTTAGCCTCCTGCGCAGGGAGCAGCCTCAGCCCTAGAACACAGCCCCTCAGGGCCCCGCTCCTCACTCCTCCAGGCCAGAGACAGAGGCTGCCCCCAGAGGGAGGGAGGGGCAGGCCTGCAGCCACCGCCACTCAGGCAAGTGGGGCACATTCCGCTGTCACATGGGGACCAGGCCTTTGATCACCCTCACACCCTCTCCAGACAGAGTCTGAGCCGCTTCCCACCTCTGTCCGTCTGCATTTCCTGATGGAGGACACTGTGCTCGGCTCGCGGTCCCGCCACCCTGATGGGCAGGACCAGCCTCCCCTGCACAGCCCCTGCCCCGGGACCACGGCAGCACCAAGGCCCTCCAGTGCCCACCGGCTGGGGCTCTGGTACGTCCCTGCCTCCCCCCGACCCCCAGCAGCGGTCTCGGCCCCACCTCCCCGAGATGCCTGGGGGCTGGGGAGGCAGGCAGAGCTGCTGGGTGTGGGGGAACCGGGAAGTCAGGGGCCGGGGAACCCAGGCTCCCTCCCAGCGGCAGCAGGACCCTCGGGGTGTCGGTGTTCCCTTCACCAGCCCCACTGGCACTTCCCATAGGATCATGGTGAGAACGGGGAAAATGCTGCAGGAAAAAAAGCTTCCAAAGTTCCACGAATTGAACGCAAGCGGGAGGTACGTGGGCGGGAGGCCTGCCTGGGCAGACTGCCAAGTGAAGCCAGAGGCCCTCGTCCCAGATATGGAGGCAGGTGCCAGCGACGGCCAGAGCTCCTCACTGCTGACCTGCCGGACTGAGGGGGCCGCAGGGCGTCCCCGCAGGGCAGCCTGGCAGGGCGCCCAGGCACTGCCTGTGACGAGACTGTGGCCTGGGCGTCCTGGGCACGGGCCCCAGGTGGACTCGACACCCACGTGAGGACGGCCACCGCCAGGCCACCCACCAGGGTGCTGCTGGACACAACGCGTGGGTCCCCCTGCTGTGACCCACAAAGACCTGCAGGGGTTTGTGACGGAACAAGGACGTCAAGAGAAGGGGCCCTGTTTCTCCCTCCTCCTGCCTGCAGCCGAGATCCCGGCAGTGGGAGTGGGGCAGAGGGACTCTGACTGCTCAGCTCCCAGGGCAGCCCGGAGGGTGGAGCCGGCGGGCACAGAGATGAGTGTCTCTGGGAAGGCTGCCCTGTCTGGCTCCTGGCGGGCACCCTCCGCACAAGACGACCCCACCCCAGCAACCTGCTCCCCTTATGCTCCCCTGGGACTGGTGGGCTCAGCTCGTCCACCTAGCGCTCACCTTGACTGTCCTCCTAACCCCCACCCCAGGCTGGACAGCTGGCCATGCCCTGAGAACAGCAGCAGCTTGGCTCAGGGCTCCTGGGCACTGCAGGGTCCCATCCTGCAGCCACCAGCATCCTCCTGCTTCCACCACAGCTCAGCCCACACCCAGAGCAGGGCAGGAGGCCGCCTGGGGACTGGACACCTGGCCCAGAGGACTGGCTTACAGGGGTCTGTGTCCACCTTCTGTCCTCTCCAGAGGGCCCTCACACCACCCAGCATGGGCGTGGCCAGTACCCTCCACGGCTGGGGACTCACCGGAGCGGGATCTTGACGCGCAGGTAGCGGTCCACGGCGATGGCCAGCAGGGCCAGGATGGAGCTCTGGGTGAGGACGAGCACGGGGCAGGCGACCATGAGGCAGGTGTGGAAGTAGGTCTGTGGCCCGATGTTGATGAGGATGGCCAGCGGGATGACCAGGGCGCCCACGGCCACGTCAGCCACGGCCAGCGAGGCGATGAAGCAGAAGGTGGCGTCCCGCAGCGCCTGGTTCACACGCACGGCCCAGATCACCAGCACATTCCCCGGCACAGACACCAGGGCGATGAGCACCTCGATGCTGATGTAGGCGGCCTGGAAGGCCGAGACGGGCGGCATGGCGGGCAGAGGCCGGGCACATCGGCGAGGGGCACCTGTGGTCAGGAAGCCGGGGTGGGGAGGCTGTGGGGGGCAGGGGACACAGGGGACGGGGCTCCCTCCCCTTGGAGCTGTGCCCACTTGGCACAATGGTGCCCCCGGGGCTAGTGAGACCCCCGGCCCTCTCTCTGCCTGGTCTCTGTCCCTCCACTTATCAACCCAGAGGTTTCATTCAGCAACTTGGGAGAGCAGCGCTCACTCCTCCCGCCCCGCTGCACACGCCCCACCAGGTCCCCACGCCTGCCTCTGCCCACCGATGCCCCAGATCAGGGTGCCAGGAGCTCACCAGCCTGTCTGCTGGCCGCCAGGGGGGCCCAGAGGTGGTGCCCAAAGTTGGGGGCACCTGCTGCCGCCCAGAGCTGGGGACTCGGGGCGCGCGGGGCTGGGCTGGGCTGGGCTCCGGGCACCACGCCGGCAGCTCATGTCCTCGCTCCGCTGCAGCGCAGCCGGCCCAGCCTCGCCAGCATCACATGGTGCGCAGAGGCTCTGCCCGGCCGCTTTTAAAGAGGCAGCACCCTGCCCTCACCTGGGACGGGGGTCTGGGGTCTGAGTCTGACACCGGCGGGGCGGGGATCCCTTTCCCTGTGTGCGCCCTCCCGCCAGCCCGCCACCGCCACCGGAGACATGGGCACCAGCTCCCAGCGGCGCCCTGGCCCCGCTCCAGCTCTGCAGGACCGCGCTGCCCACCCGCCCTGGAAGGGGGCTCCCTAGCCGCCGGCTTCGCCCGCCCGCACCCTCCGGAGCCCGATGCGGAGGAACCACAGACCTGCCCAAGGTCACCGGAGCCGGCAGCGCTCAGCCACCTGAGCGGTCCAAGCCTCCCAGCCAGGCGCTCAGCCACCGCCAGCGCGGGGCACCCGGGAACCCCGGCCAGCCCGCCAGGTCCACATCCACGTCCAGTCCAGGTCCAGTCCAGGTCCAGGTCCAGTCCAGGTCCAGTCCAGGTCCAGGTCGGTGTGGACTTGGCTCAGGCGCCGGGCACGGGGCTGAGTGACAACAGGGCTCCACACACTGGAGGGGCGGGGGCGGCGGCACCTCGGGGCCCCTCCCTCCTCGCCCTCCACCTCCTCCCTCACCCCCTCCGCTCAACAAAGGAAGTGATTCTGGGTGAGAAATGCTGGGAAAATGTGAGCTTTCCCTGGGCCCCTCCCCGTGTGAATTCAGCCTCCAGGCGCCCGCTCCCCTTCTGGATGCAGGATGCCGGGAGGCGCCCCTACATCGGCTGCGCAGCGCCCCCACATCCAGCCTCACCGACTGCCCCTCCCCGCTCCTCAGTCCTGAAACTGCTCCCCCGAGCCAGCCGGCAACTCGCATCCTCCGTGCCTCACTTTGCAGACTCTCTCCTGAGTCATTTCATTACATTCTTTCTCCGTCTCTCAGCAAATTCCCTTTACGGACGGGGGTGCCGGGGCTCAGGAAGCCGCCTCGCTCCGAGGTCACCTCCATCCCCCCACCCCTCTCCTGCCCCCTCTGTCCCCTCTCCCTCTCGGCACAGCCCAATTGGCTGGTGTTGCAGGAGCCCAGCCAGGGAGCGAGGTGCACAGGAAATCCTAACAGAGACCCTGGATGGTGCGCCCCACCTTTCCCCACCTGGGTCCCCTCTGGCCGCCTCCTGCTGCAGGTTCAGGTTAGGTGGCCCCGGTATCCACTGAGGACTCCCGACACCGCCCCCCCCCCCGCCCATTCCGGCCCAAGGCTGACTCTCATGCCAAAAAGGAAACCCAACCTGAAACCTCCGGTGGGATGGGGGGGGGGGGTATACCTTGTTGGCTCAACCTCCTAGAGATCGCGATATTCCACCGAGTTCCTCTTGTCAACACTGAAAGGGTGACTCTTCTCCTGGCTCGGTTCTGGGTCTGCAGCCACCTCCAGAGTACCCGGAGCGGAGGCGTGCCTACTCCCCTGGCCTCCATCCGACAGTCAACGCGATGTTTACATATACGATCTCGATGGGAGAACTAATCATCTCTAACCCATGCCACGAGTGGCCAGCACCATAAAAATAAATCTCCATAGTCTTTGCACGTGGGTTCTAAAAGGCACA